AATGTGAAATGATGGTGGTGCTGGTGGTGATTCGGATGATGATACTTTCCAAGAAGCAATCTTATTGACAACATCCTTCTTCTTCCCCCCTTCAAATTCCGCTTATCATTTAGAGTAATGGTTCCCTTTTTCGTGAACCAGCACCCAAAGGCCATGAAATCTTCTGAGGAGAAGCCTATCAGCTTTTCTAGGGATATGATCTCCAGATCTTATATAGAGAAGACGTCCAGGTCTTCTATGAAAAAGACCACCAGGTCCTGTAAAGATTAAATATATCGAGTCCTTCTCCTTATATATTTTAATGTAACTACCTCCACAGAACACGTTCAGGTCCTCCCCACAGAAGAACTTAAACTCTTCTCCACAGAAGATAAGGACATCTTCTCTTTGGAAGACGCCTAGCCATCTACTGATGTTGAGTTTCTCTTCTTAGATGATGCAGAGGTTCTCGCCAAAGAATACCTGGTATTTATTTAGGGTTATCTAGTTAGAAAAACTAAAATCTTTACCTAAAAAGACCTAGTAGATGTCTTTTCCTTAGCAGACGCGTACATATTCTCCATAGAAAAATTATAGTCTTCTCATAAGATGGCCAAGTCCATGTATGGGATATATTTTATGTTTTGAACAACTCTAGAATAGTTTCCAGTCATTGATGCCCTCCTAAGGATGTTCGATTCCTTCCAAAACTTTTTCAATTATTGAAAAACTTCAAATCGCAAATTATTAAACAATAATTGAATTTGAAGATTTCTTGGAAAGTCAGATGAAAATCCCTGTTACTCATTTCGCCAAAATTGAACCCTTTCCTTTATGTTAAAAATGTGAAATGATGGTGGTGCTGGTGGTGATTCGGATGATGATACTTTCCAAGAAGCAATCTTATTGACAACATCCTTCTTCTTCCCCCCTTCAAATTCCGCTTATCATTTAGAGTAATGGTTCCCTTTTTCGTGAACCAGCACCCAAAGCACTTAACTCATTTTTATCCTGTTGCTGCTGTACTTTTTTACGAGACGCACAGACACAGAGCTTCCTTCCTACCAAAGCAAAAACAAGTAAAACCAAAAAAAAAAAAAAAGCGGAGGCTTAGTCATTAGGCCTGCAAATGGCAATGGATGGTTAAGGAGCAACAATCCTATCCCGAAGAACAGAAGAAGCAAAAAAAAAACATAAATTTAGCCAAGAAGTTACCCTAACTCCGCGAACAAAACAAGGGTTGTTTTTGTCATTCCCCCAAAGCCGGTGGGGAGAGGAGTGGAATACCAAGACTAAGCGGCGTCAGTTATCTGTGTCTGAAATGATTTGCTTTTCCTAATGCAGGAATTTAAGGTTTGTGCAAAAAAAGGGGTTCTTGTTCTCCCAGAAAGAGAGAGAGAGAGAGGGAGAGGCAGCACGCGGTTGTATGGTGTGTTACAACAAGCTCGACGGGATTTGAAGAGAAACTCCCCTTCATGTGGCAGTTACTTTTGTTGGGGTGAAACCTGTACCAGGATGAAAACACCATACACTTGGGGTGGTTGTTGTTGCTCCTGTGCTCTCGAGTGAGAGAGTGTGTAAGTGTGTGTGTGTGTGAGTGAAGGCTTTCCACCATTGAATTCGCGTTATTCCTTTTTTATTATCCTGCATGTTTGACACTCTCTTCCTTTTGCTCCTTTTTCTTGACATCTATTGTTGTTGTTGTTGTTGCGTATTCCTGCTTCCTTTGTGTGGTAGTAGTATTCCCGTTTTTTTTTCTTGTCCTTTTCTCATTTTTGTTGCTTTATTATCTCAGCGAAAGCGACTCTTTGACACAGTTTTCTGGTGCAATTCAGGGAAGTCGGTCGTTTAGTCGCTCGCTCGCTCGTTCGTTCGTCTTTGTTAGAAACAGCATATCGCGCGCGTATTACTTCATCGTTTTCGTGTTTTCGGGTAGTTAAGTTTTTCTTCATTTTCTCGTTGTTTTCGTTTCGTACCACATTTTCCGACTTTGTTTTTGTTAATCGCAAAGAAGGAAGTTGTTAAATAAACTTGGCAAATTTTATGCGTTATATCCGTTTCGCAACTTCGTGATAAAACATAATTTTGAAATTATTCTAACATTATTATTTGGAACTCTCTTGTGATTCGCTTTCAAAGCGCAAATTGTGTGGTGTAGTGGCAAAGAAAGGAAAAAAGGACAGGTAAATTTTCAAATGTTTTTATTTCGGTGTGGTTTTAGTTGAAGTCATCAAAGAAAAATTGTTTTGTAGGAAAATCTGTTATAAAGAACAGAAAACCCTTATGAGGAACAATAACATTATTTTATGACAGCGGTAGAGAGATCCGATACAAATGAAAGCTGACGAGGATTTATCTTATGAATTTATATGCCTTAAATATATATGCATTAAATTTGAAAAGTAATTTCGGAAACTCAAAATGCTCCAATTTTCGAAAAAAAAAAAAATCTCGAAACATATATATGTCTTATAATCCAAAATAATTTCAGATACTTCGATTTTCCGTAAATCGGAGTCCAAATGCACAGCTTTTCTAATTTTCGGAAAAAATGCTATTAAAAATGCCGATTTGGAAAAAACCCTTATTGATGATTATATTTTAAGAACCGACTTCAATAAGAGCCAAATGATTTCCAAACAAGTCTCCATAGGCGATCTGATGGTCCCTCAAACGAAATAAGATAGAAGGCTAAAAGTTTTGAGTCCGTTTACGACTTCGTACAGCCCCCATATAAGGGTAACTCCCAATATTTGGTGTTTTAATGATTCTAGAGACATTATAGACGGGAATTGTCTCAAATTTCGTATTTGAAGTTCGTGTACAGGTCCACGCTATCGTATAGCCCCAATATAACGATGATTTCCTATATTCGTTATTTTTATGATGTTAGCGACATTTTTAATCGGAATTGTTTCAAATTTCGTCTTTGAAGTTCGGAATCGGTACTACAGACAATGATAAACAATTACTTATGATGGACCACGTCTTCGAATAGGCTCCAAATAAGGGTTTTCATTTAAGTGGCATTTTTCGTCTGACTTTTTTTTTAATTTTTCAAATGCAGAGGATAATACAAACTTAAAAAAAAAGAAATATAATAAATGAAGAATGAAAACTTTTGGGTAGGGGTTTTATAAAAATTATTAAAATGTACCTCATTTTAGTATCAATAAAAAATACTTAAAACTTCTGATACCTCCCCCCCCCAAAAAAAAGGCCAACATTTTCAAAGAAAATAATTTAACTCATAGAAGGAGGAAGGATCATTCGATTTTGTGTAAACTTTGGATATCCCAATATTTTTGCCAGGTACTAAAATGGACAATATCTGCCCACTCCATCAAGTACCTCCCCCACAAAGGGTGAATATTTTGAATAATTTTAACTCTTATAAAATATGATGTAAGAGTCCGATAGTCTTCAAATTAAAGACATCGTAATATTTTTATAAACTCGATGTCTGGTGTGTAGATTGAGTATATCGGTCCACTCCTTCTGGTACCTCCCCCACAAAGGGTTAACATTTCGAATATCCATGAAGCTTTTTTACTTGTTATTATTATTATTATTGTTATTATTATTATTATTTTTATTATTATTATTATTATTATTATTATTATTATTATTATTATTATTATTATTATTATTATTATTATTATTATTATTATTATTATTATTATTATTATTATTATTATTATTATTATTATTATTATTATTATTATTATTATTATTATTATTATTATTATTATTATTATTATTATTATTATTATTATTATTATTATTATTTTTATTATTATTATTATTATTATGGTTACAAATATTTGGAAGGCTCACTCACTGGACGTCAAGAAAGAAATCTTCTGGTACTTTTCATCTTTTTTAAATACAGGGTGAGATAAAAACGGCAAAAAAGTCAAACGCCATAATTTTTACATTTATTAAACTTTGTTGAATGAAAGCAAAAATGTCGGAAATAGCATCAAACTTTTAAAATAAGCTTAGATTTGTTTAAATTGGTCACATTTGACACGAATTATGGCCTTAAAACGGCCAATGAAATCGTCACACGCTGCACGAATGTTGCTTTTCGGTATTTTTGCCAATTTCTGGCGAATCGCCACTTTGCTATTTTTAGTGCCAACCTTGCTTTCCAAAATACTCCAGACACAATAGTCCAACGGATTGGTATCCGGAGATTTTGGTGGACATTGTGCGCTGGAAATGAAGCGAGGATCCTCACTTTTTTAGCCATTCTTGGTTGGCGCGTACTGAGTGCGATGGTGTTGAATCCTGTTAGAATGTCCAACGTCTGCCGCCAAGATGGTTGCATTTTGTTTGTTTACAAACTGCTGGACAACGAATGTTTTCTCATCGGAGAAAACCAAATTCGGCAGTTCATCACTTTCGGCCGAGCGAAGAAACTTTTTAGCTCTTTTGAGTCTATTTTTTCAGTTGCGGGGTAAGTTCTTGAACTTTTTGGAATTTCAATGACTTTACCCCGAGCTCATTTTTCAATATTTGCCGAATGCCGACATATTGTGATATGTTCAGCTCACGAGCCATTTTTCGGCCACTGCGACGCAGGTTTCGATCCAGTCGCTTCTTCACTTTTCGAATCATTTCTGCTGATGTTGCTGTTTTCTTCCGTCCACTTCCTTGACGTCGGGCTACGCTACCAGTATCACGGTAACGAGAACAAGAGATTTATTCACATTTAAATGGTGGGGTGCTCTAACTATAGCCACTTGTGGTTTTCCTGCCAAATATAAAGAAATCACACTAGCACGCTTGAAATCCATCATGAATTACTTATTCTGAAAATTTCTCACCAAAATGCTTTTGTACGCTTGTAAACAATATAATGAGCGGTCACTGGAGTAATTTTAACATCTCGTCGGACGAGTGGCTTAGAAATGACAGCAGTCTGAAATCGGTTTCAGTTCAGTTTATCTCACCCTGTACTTCTTTTATATGTTTCTTTAAAGTTACTTATGGTTTTAAATTTATTTTATTTCCAGAATCTCGATAATTTCCCCTATTGCTGGCGAAATGTTGAATAGATAAGGTTCATTGCCAAAATAAGAGGTAAGTTTTATAAATTACATCTTGTTGTGATCAAACTTCTCCTATATAAAATTTTCCGAACATACACATGTTTTGCTATGGATCAGAAAAAACGTATGAGAATGAAAACTGTCTGCTTCAATATCAGACAATATGTAATAACTTTTTTGGTGGAGTATTGGCCTGTTTCTTTACCTAGAGATATTCATAATTGCAGGGGTTTTTGATTTATTTATATATAATCTTATTCGGATTTCCCAATCATAAGCAAGTAAAAAAGCAGCTAAGCTCGGCCGGGCCGAACTTCTAATACCCTCCACCATTTCAAAAAAATCCGAAAACTACCACTTAAAGGAAAACCGTTATATGGGGACTATACGAAGACGTGGACCTGCACACGAAATTTTTTGTCATCGGTTGTATTACCCACTAAGATCTTCTAATACGAAATTTGAAACGATTTCGGTGAATAGTGTTGCTGAAAACGTCAAAATACCGACTATTGGGAGGTACCGACTTGCATGCACAAATTTTTGTCGTAGATTGTAGTACCCGTTACGAACTTTAAATGTGAAATTTGAAATAATTCCGGTCAATAATGTCCGAGTTATGAGAAGTTACAAACGGAATGACAAAGTTAATATACCCTCCATAGAATGGTGGAGGGTAAAAAAATATAGCAAAAATCGTGTCATTTTCAGTGTGTGCTGCATACATTTAGGCTGACAAACGGTAAACAACAGCAGAATGCTTCAACATCTAATATTTTCAAATAGAAAATAAACAAATATCCCATACAATGACATATTTTTCCACAACAAAAAAAACTCAACAAATTTCTTTAATATATTTTCTTTGAATTTAATAAAGTTTATAATAATTTCCAAAATTCACATGAAAAATGGGTGGAGTACTCTTCATGAGAATATCACTTTCCACAAAACGCTGTCAAGCTGTCTTGTACCACAAAAACAAAAGTAAAAAATTTCCAACTCATTACCAAACTTCAAAGGCTAAGAAGCATGACATCAGAAAGTGAGAGAGTAAAACGATGCTCTTTGATTTGCCATTGGCTGTTGTGGTTTTGCCTTGGCATTTTGTATATGAAATTAGCTTAATTTCAAGGATCTTCGGGTAAAGATTTTCCCATGAAAATTACGAAAAAAAAATCTTTAAAATTTTGGGGAACAACGCAAAAATATTAGGGGAGACATTGAGAATTTAGTTTGAAGGGTAAATAAAATGATCCCTACACCCACCTTACAATTATTTTGGTTTCTCTCACTCGCTCCCACTTAAATGCCATTCATTTATCTTGGCACTTGCCCTTGAATCGCAAATCCCATTTCTCTTGTTTTTTTTACTACACTCTGTTCCCTGTAAATTATCCACAATCAACAGCTTGCCAAAAGGGCACTGCAATTGCGCCACCTATACTTCGTGGTGGAAGGGAGTGAGAGGTAGGAGTCCACAAGCTGTGATTTTCTTTTATGGAACCGGAAATCAAATGTAAACAATGTTTTATTTACAAGGTTAAAGCGCGGGTGACATTCAACAGCTATGCATTTCCATGAAAACACATTTCCACAATATTTTTATGTTGTTTTGAAACAATGTTGTTGGAGAGACAGAGGGGCGAGGGGAACCCACTTCGGTGATGATGGAGGAGCAGCATTGCTTACGTCAATGCCGTAACAAAATTGCGAAGTAGTAGCCACGACAGCAGCATAACTAGAGGATGGTAATGAAAACAAATGCCATTGGTAATGCAAAGTAAAAGTAAACAGCAACATAGTCAATGGTAGAGGGTGGTATGGCGAGATGGAAAAATTGGAAAGCTTTAAAAGGTGTAGAAGATTTGTAGGATTTTTATAAATATTTTTCTAAGGGTACTTAAGATTTTTTTAAAAAATATATTTTTTAATGAACTTGCGAATAAAAAAAAAGTTATAAAGTATCAGTCGATTTTGCCCACACATGTATACCCTCAGCTAATATGAGATTATTTAAATATATAAATATGAATTTTTGAGCCTTTGTGGGTGAGGTACCAGCCGGAGTTCGCCTATATATTCCACCTTCACACCAGACCTTGGGTTAATATTGTCCGAACCTAAATAAATATGATATAAATATTGCGACGGGCCAAATTTTTGAGGCTTTGTGGATGAGGTACCAGAAGCAGTAGACCGATATATACCATCTTCACACCAGACCTTGGGTTAATAAAAAATATTCTGATGTGTGTAATTTGAAGTCAATCGAACTGTTACATAATATTTTATAAAAGTTATGATTATTAAAAACGCTGACCCTTTGTGGCGGTGGTACTTGATGGAGTGGACAGATATTGTCCATTTTCGCACCTGACCTAGCACTGATTCAAATATTGGGATTTGCAAATTTGGAGCAAAAACGGATTACTCTTTCTCTTTCTGGGCAGTAAAATATTTTTTTTAAATGTTCAATCTTTTGTGGGGAGGTACAAAAGAAGTGGACCGAAATTCCCATTTCCGAACTTGATCTAAGTTTGCCAATACTATTGCGATGTACCAAAGTTGGACCAAATCGGATACTTCCTTCGAGAGATATAGTGCGCACCAGCCAGCCAGACAAAAAGACATCGCTAGATCGACTCGAAATGTCCTGAAACGGATTTGGTCTAAAGAGACATAGGGTCTAAAACTGTTATTTAGATGAGGCACGTTTTGGCCGTATTACCCTCTCTAGCCATATGATTAAGTGTATAAAAAATCGGTATTCGAATAACGTGGATAATATTAATTAATAAATTGGATAACGTGGATAATGTTTATAAGTTATTTGAATAACGAGGATAATGTTTAAAGTCATTTGGATAACGCGGATAATGATTATATGTCATTTGGATAGAGTGGATAATGCTTATATATCATTTGGATAAAGTGGATAATGCTTATATATCATTTGGATATTGCGGATAATGATTATTATAATTTGGATAAAGTGGATAATGGTTATTCATCATTTGGATATTGTGGATAATGATTTTTATCATTAGGATAACGTGGATAATGCATACATGTAATTTGGACAACATGGATAATTATAAGTCGTCACTTGGATAACGTGGATAATGGTTATTCATCGTTTGGATAACGTGCATAATACGTATATGTAATGTGGATAACGTGGATAATGCATTTGGATATCGTGGATAATGATAAGTTGTCATTTGGATATCGTGGATAATGCTTATTCTCCATTTGGATAACGTGGATAATGCTTATTCATAAATTGGATAATGTGGATAATGCTTATATATAATTTGGATAACGCGGATAATGTATTTACATTTTTGGGATAACGTGGATAATGCTTATATATCATTTGGATAAAATGGATAATGGTTATTCATCATTTGGATATTGCGGATAATGATTATTATCATTAGAATAACGTGGATAATGCATACATGTAATTTGGATAACGTGGATAATGCGTATTTGTAATTTGGATAACGTGGATAATGATAAGTTTTCATTTGGGTAACGTGGATAATGGTTATTCATCGTTTGGATACCGTGGATAATGCATATATGTCAGTTGGATAACGTGGATAATGCATAAATGAACTTTGGATAACGTGGATAATGATAAGTCGTCATTTGGATATCGTGGATAATGCTTATTCACCATTTGGATAACGTGGATAATGCTTATTCATAAAACGGATAAGGTGGATAATGCTTATATGTAATTTGGATAACGTGGATAATGATTATTCGTTATTGGGATAATGTGGATAAAATGTATAAGTCATTTGGATAACGTGGATAATGATAGTGCGTCATTTGGATAAAGTGGATTATACTTATTCATCATTTGGATAAAGTGGATAATGCATGTACGTGATTTGGATAACGCGGATAATCTTTATATGCCATTTGGATAACGTGGATAATGACCTTTTTTCCTTCTAATCATCGAGATGTCCAACAAGATGGAATCCTCTCACAGTTTCCCAAAACTGATGCCACTTACCTGCGCACCATCCATCTCTCCACTATGTCGAACACTAGACAAATACATTCATTATAGTGGCGGCCAGACAATTGGTGAATTCCACGAAAAAACAACAACAACAAAACTATGTCTCATCCTCCATGGGAGTTCAAAAAATGTGTGTAAAATTGTCAAAAATTATGGTATCAGATGGTGCGATGAGGTGGAGACCAATAATGGTTATACATATCGAATGCCGAGGCACGTCAAAGAAATTAATATGGCGCCAAGGCCATATTTATGAATGTAACAAGAAATACTACTAATACTACTACACCCCCACACAACAAGGTGGCTGGATGATTTTCCTTTCCCCAACTAACCTTCGTTTCGGTTCTCTGTTGTGAAATTGTGGAATATAAACAAAATTCGAACAAAAACAAAAATTGGAAAAAAAAACAAACTGAAAAGCAGAAAATCATCCTGTAGGAGTGGATTTGAGGTAGTAGGGAATTCGAATGAAATACTACAACATAAATAAACAACAACGAAAACAAAAACAAAAACGGCAACAACATCAAAAAATAAATAAAACACGCCAATGATGAAGGACATGCGTTGTATGTGGGTGTGATAATGTATAGAATGGGGGGTTGCAGAGACTCCATCATCAAAAGCCACCCACTCTCTCAAATAACTTTTTTTACTCCTGCGAGGAGAAAAAAAGTAAGAAAAATGGTAAATTTCTGTTCTTCCTTCCGACTGGCATTGAACTGAAAACATGAAGAAGCATTAGAAACTCGACACAACTGTGGCCCAAAGTCGTCGTCGTCGTCGTCGCATCACTGGAACGTGGGTGTTTTAAGGATTACAGGGAAACCAAACAATCGGTGGCGTATCCTAGAAAAAGTTATTATAAAAATAGAGCCGTCGTCGTTATTGCGACGCAAAATATTTTTCAATTTCGTTTCGTTTCGTCTTTTTTTGGGGAGAGAACTTGAACAAGGGTTCTCATGTTTTTCATTAAAAAATTCCAG